CGTATCCAACATTACAAAAGGTTGGTTGGTGCTTAGTTGCACATGAAGCTGACTGCCCTTCCAATCTTCTTGTTATTTGCGGTCGATTCAGTGTTAATTCAATATCCAAATTATAAATGATGAAAATTAAATAAGATAATAGCCCCTAGTAGATAGGCAACTTTCATAACTTCGAACCGCTTGCCCCCCCCTGAAAAGTCGTCCTGTCGACGCCCCTGACTCCAGTACAAGTCCGGTGTAAGAGGGTTGCCTAAGGTGCCTGGCGGCTTCTCGGGAACCAAGTGAGAGAACAAGCGTTGCCGTGAACGAACGGCCGCAGGGAACGTTGAGACGTTGAGGGAGGAGCGCCTTAAACTCCGAGGCGAAATGTTTATGCCATTAAAGGAAAGAAGCAAAGCTGTTTGTTGTCGATTTTTTCGAGCCCACAATTTTCCCCTCTGAATTTTCTTGACGACAAACAACAATGTTTCTCATACCTTGTGAATCAGAATGTGAAAATGAATGTGCTGCCTTTGTTTCAGGATTCAAATTCAATCGCCGCCATTGTTTCAGTTTCTCACAGTAAAGTAAACATTTCAGTGAAAAATGGATTCGGCAATCAAAATAGTTGTTAAATGGAGTGGAAAAGAATATGAAATAGATTCCCTGTCATCAACTGACACTGTAGCAACATTGAAAGAAACAATACGAAAGCGTACGGGTGTCCTTCCAGAAAGGCAAAAGCTACTGAACTTAAAACATAAAGGTAAGCTACAAATCAGCTCTAATAACTAGGTCTGACAGCTGAAATTACCTTACATTACTGAATGTTGGACTCATGGAACAATGCCTGAATTTCAGGGAAAATTCCAGAAAATGATGTTCATTTGTCAGCACTCAACATTAAACCGGGATTTAAGATCATGATGATGGGGTCTCTCGAGGAGGAAATTGAGGCTGTTAGTCTTCCACCTGAAGATTTGCCAGATGTAGTCAATGATTTTGATATTCCAGAAGAGGAAGAAGTTGACGTGTGCAACCGAGAGGTAAAACAGATTATATACAGTATTTAGCCATAAGTATATATCTAACTATGTATTTGTTTATTTTTAGGTTTATTTGTCAAAAATAACTAAAAGAATTTCTGACTACAAAATTGTTGAGAGAAATCCTCCAAGAGAAGGAAAAAAGCTATTGGTTCTTGACATTGATTACACATTGTTTGATCATCGCTCTCCTGCTGAAACTGGCTTTGAGTTAATGCGCCCATTTTTGCATGAGTTCTTAACAGAAGCATACAAGGTACTTTAGAGTAAAGATCAGTATTCTAAAAGCTGCTCTATAATTTTCTATAGTCCTTTTCTTGCTCTGTTTAATTTTTACCTTTTACATTCTGTGTAGGAATATGATATTGTAATTTGGTCTGCAACCAGTATGAAGTGGATTGAAGAGAAAATGAAGTTGCTTGGAGTTGCTAGCAACACTGCCTATAAAATTACCTTTTATATGGATTATTTAGCCATGATCACTGTTCATACATCAAAGTATGGTACAGTAAACGTAAGTCCTTTTTTCTCTTTTACTTTCTTATGTTTTAAATAACTGCTCTATTCTTTTTTTGTGCTGAAATTAGATTGGTAATTCTATGTTTGCTGCCGTGCAGGTAAAACCTCTAGGCGTAATATGGGGCAAGTATCCTGAATTCTATTCGCCTAAAAATACTATTATGTTTGATGACATCCGCCGCAATTTCCTCATGAATCCATCTAATGGTCTACGCATCAGGCCATTTCGCCAAGCTCATATGAATCGACAAACTGACAGAGAGCTCCTGAAGTTGTCCAAGTACCTCAAGATGATAGCAGAACTTGAGGATTTTTCAACCCTTGAGCATCGGAATTGGGAACGTTATTTGAGTGATAACAACCAGGATGGTGACTCTTAGGAATGGAGGATTGCATTTATGAAGAAAAGTGTCTATAAGGTATCCAAGCTGTGAATGACTGATTTTTATGTACTATGAGGTGTATTAAATTATTTTGATATGCTAAACATTACTGCTTATTTGAATTCTGGCATAGTACCTTTTCCATTGGGAACCTTGAACTAGTTTGAATGTGTCTAGAATTTTTGAAGCTGCAAAAAAACAACAAATTTTAGGGTTCAATTAAAAAAATTATCAAGCAGTTCTTCTAAATATGTATTTTATTACCTTCATTATATATTTGATTAAATGTTATCATATCAGAAGAATGACAAATGAATTACTGTTGGATTTATTTAGTCATATGAGGAGGCAAGACACCTTGCTCTAACTGAGGCAGCTCCCTTCAGATGTTTTGACGACTGTGATTGGTGAATGGCTTGTCAAGTTAGGCTAGCCAATCAAAGTATGGGGACAGCGGCACCTTGCCTCACAAGACTAAATCCACCACATTTCAAGATTATGAAGCACTATTGTCAGTTAAATTAGTTAACATAATCCACATTCTACAATAAATACATAACATCTATAAATAATTCACAGCGCAGGCAGAACTATCATTCATTGTTTGATTATTATGTACATAACCTTCAATGTCTCAGTTCATAAAACGTAGCCTTCATAAGTGTAATGAAGAGGAATGTGGCTTGACAAGGCATTATCTACTGACAAAAAAAAAATAATTAAGGAAATTAATGTTCCTTATCTTTAGTGATCCAGTACCAGTACAAGTACAACCTTAGCATCACTATAAGTACACAAAAATGGATAACATACAGTATTTCTAAAAAGATTTTATCGCCCCACAAAAACCCAGATATGGTCTGTACGGATCAATCCTCACAGAAAAACAAAACTGAAATATAAATATGGGGATGGTTTGATATAGTCAACAACCACTTAATCAGTGGGTATTTTTAAAATAAGATAAAATAACTTTGGGTAGAATAAAAAGTAATGAATACATTTTTAACTACTTTAATAATCTCCTGACAAATGATCCCTACCAAAGAAATGTTTTTTCTTCTTGAAACTGGCAGCAGTTGAAAGGTATCTATCTCAAACTGTGACAATCTCAGACATTAGAGAGGGAAGTGATTTTCTTCTAATCTTTTTGCTAGGTGATTCAGACAGTTCCCCATCTGAATACGCATTTCTTTCTTCTGAATCATCTGACCCTTGCTTAGTATTAACATTTAAATTGCTAATGTTCTCCAAACTTTTTGACAATTGAAGCACTTTCTCAGTCTCTGCAAGTAAAGTGACCCCATTACTCTCAAGAGTTTCATCTTCCTGTCCAGAACTGGCCAAATCTTCAGAGACTGGGCAATTGGCCCTGAAATCCCCAGATGCAGAAGAGCTACGCTTTCTTTTGGCACTGGGAGAGAGATTGTCTTCAGAGTCATCATTTCTAATGTCAGCCTGACTTCTAGATCGTGATATCTCACTATACGGTGAAACAGAGTCATCTTTAGGTGACTTTACAAAACTTGAGCTACAGGGACTTTCAAATCCTTCAAAGTCTTCTCGATGGAGAGAATCTGAACTGAGAGTTACATTGCTACATGCATAATTGTACTTGTAAATATCAGCTGGGATAGGACTTGATGTTGGGCTTTCAATATCAACAACACTCAAAGTGAATTTCATACTACCAAAATCAGGATCATCTAAAACAACTTCTGTAATTCCAGAACCATCATCCCTCTCGATTGGTGTGAATTCTGGGGTCATAGGACGGAGGCGTACTTGGCCTGATTCCAATTCTTTATTCTCCGTCACATCTATTTCCTTTTCGACTTTGATACCTTGATCTGTTTTACTGTCCTTCACAGTAGTGACAACTTCATCTAAATTGGGTTTCTCTAGGTCCTTTATTTTCTTTAGCTCTCTTTCTCTTTGTAGGAACGCCTTAGAAGGACGTCCCCGTTTTCTTTTGAGTGGAGGAGGGCTCTTCTCTGACGACAGCAACTCGAGTTGTCGTGGAGACTGCTTGGAACAGGATGAATTAGAGACCAATGGAGAATCTAAAGACTGAGACAACAAAGCAGAGCATGAAGCATCTAAATCATTGCTGGAGCTCATGTCAGAACCTGAACTAGCAACTTTGCTTGGCTTCCGGGCTTTGCGTCTGTTCCAATCATGCTTTTCATCATTCATGTTCTCTTGTGAGATGCAGTAATCAGAGGCATTGACATTATCTTGAGGGCTTTGAGCAGCATTCTTTTCAAGGCTCTCACAGTCCACATTGTCAGCATCATCCCTTTTCACAACTTCCCATACAGATGTATCACTTTTTGCATCATCCATCTGGTTACTGGAGGCAAAGCCATCAATGTTAGACTCCTCATCTCTTGCTATAGGATGTACATTTGCAATTTGAGGACTACTCGACACCTTCAACTTTCCACTCTTCGTACTTTTGACTCCATTAAAAGAACCATGTGATTCACAAGTTTCATCCTGTTAAAAATATAGAAAATATGTTTCAAACAAACAACAATCTCACTCTCTTAAATTGATAATGCTACTTGCAAAATAATAAATAACAGAGGAGTAAATTTTCATCATTTTCAGCACTTACCAAATAAGGCTGTGACCAAGTTTTCATGACTTGGTCTCTTTCCATACAAAGCTGTTTAAAGCTAACCCAAGTCTCCAGACGAAAGAGACATTGGTAACAGATTTGGTTGGGTAACCCATCAGACTGTGACACCTTAAACAAGGCAAAGGGAGAGAAACATGTAACTGTTAGATGAATAATGGACAGTTTACAAGATAAGCCCTAGAAGTTCTCACATTGAAGATGATAAAATAATATGCCAAATCCAAAACCAAAATGTCTAAAATAAAATAAAAAATAAAATAAAAAGTGAGTAACTATTTTTTTTTGAGTTAGAACTATTTTCATCATATTTGATATGGTTTCTTTTGAAACAATAAAAATAAAAGACAGTAGAAAACAGCAAAATATTTAAAACTTAGTTTCTTATATTCACAACCATAACCTGGCTAAACATGTCTTCTAATTCAAATCCATGACCATATATGGAGATGAAAAATGTAAATTACATTTTGAGACTTCAATAGAATTGTGTTTCACAATGTCATTCTAAAAAAAAGGGATTTCATCAACAAAAAATTATTAAAAATACATAATTTAGGAATTCTAAGAGGTCTGACTTTTGATTAGCATTATTGGATTGAGATAAAATTTCCAAGGAACGAGATGATTTGTTCAGCATGAAGAGTGAAACTAATATCTTCCTTTTATGAAATAAATTAACATCAAACTAGAATGATTATAGAAATTTATCACATATCAAAGTAGACCATTATCTTGAGACATGCTCCGCAACAGCTTGTCCTGTGATAAATTTGAGCAGAGTTTGTGGATGGAACATTCAAGTGCTGTACCAATCAATGTGATAAGAAACTTAAATGTTCCTCAATGATAATGATAGCAAATAAAGATTAACTTAACAAAGTTCATAATAGCAGGAGGTATTTGGCCATCTACCGAATCAAAACTATTCCCCAGCTTCTGACGCATAGAAATAAGCTCTGTGAAACTTGCATCCATTTTTCTGAGGCAAAAAATCATATGAACTAGGTTCAGTGATTAATTGTGAGTCTAAAAAGCATAGATACACATCAAAAGAAAGTCTCTTTCAAACAAAATAAATCAAAATGTAGTGTGTACAGGGTGTCTCCCATAACCTTCAGAAGGTATTTAATTTAGAACATTAGAACAAGTAAAAACTTTTCTAGAAATTTATCAAGATTTGAAAAGTTAAGAAGAATTTCATGACATACCTTTAATGGCAAGTTTTTGTTGATTTTCGATTTCAGCTTTATTCTTCTGCCCTCCTCACTGAAAATGTCTATGCTTAGCCGTTTGGGCTCAATGCATAAGCGACATCTTTCTCTAAAATCCATTAGACCGTCACCCATTTTTGCTGTTGAGGGGGCTGCTTGTTAATTCAACAAGGTAGATTGCGCGGAATTGTTAAATAATGTCATCTGCGAAGACAGAGAAACACTTCGAAACTGCAGCGTCTGAATTACTGAGTGAACGGTGCGGGACTTGAGCCGAGCGGGATAGCGGGAGGGAGGGGGAGAGGGGGAGGGGAGATTCAGGCAAACGGGCCTAGTGTAGAAGCAAGTATTTTCTGTAGCTTTACATTTGATACGCGAATCGTTTAGCTTTCCAGCATATATTTCATCAGTAAAAACTGAAAATTTCGAAAAATTTAGAATATAAAAAACAGAACGTGTGGGGCATCTCGGCCGAGACGCGAACTAACGGGAGATAGGCGACCCTCTGAACGAGCGCTGCTATTGCTAAAATAAACTGCTTATAACGGCACGTTACGGACAACGCATCCATGCAAAAGTCTAAGAGAATTAAATGCGTTTGAAGGAAAATAGACACGTACACAATGGAGTCAAACAACAATCACTGTTGAAGTTTTAGCAAACATTGATATTCATTATAATATTTGCCATAGCAGATGTGTATTCCAAGACTTTCAATCCCTGAAACCTTAGAAATTAAATGTTGGGTATGGGAAACAACCATACTGGTTTGAAATATTTTAAACAATTTATTAATATCAACAGAATAGATTTGTCAGGGAACACCAGTATCTACAGCACTATAAAGTAACAACACAATAGGTGATAAGAAATGAAACCAATTACACTTGAGAACATATAACAAATTAGTCCTCAATCTAAGACAGAAATTCATTTTTTTTAAAAGTAATACATGATGTACGATAGATAGTATATAGCAATCAGTTCAAAATGCTGACAACATTCGTTCAAACAGGAAAAAACAAAAACAAAAAAAATGAGAGAGTCATTGTGAAGGATGAAAGCAAGAAGAAGAAGAAGAAATGCACAAGATGAACAACTAAAACATTGTAAACCAGTCTTGTTGGTTACTTATTGAAAGTAGTGGTGATCAATCACCGCTTGCCCCTGGAACTCTTGTTTTGCTAGTTCAAACGCATATTCTGGATACCTTTCTCAAGTAGCTGCAAACAACAGAAAATAATTAAATAAAGTACCATTATAGAAATACGAATTTTATTCGAATAATACACTAGAATAGAGCGACTGAGCCTATTTCAGATCAGATTTTGATATTCTCCTTCTCGACCCTAGGAGTCGTAGGAGTCGTGTGCTAAAAAACCCATGCAAAAAGGGGTTGGAAGCTTATTCCTTCCTTTAAATATCACAGTTTTAGCAAGATCTATAACTGCATCCATTTTGAAGATATGGCAGATAGAGTACAGATGTGATTTTGATCCAAAATAGAGACATGAACTTAATTGTTAGGATAAAGTAAAATTATACCTCTGAAAAATCATTCCTACCCACTTATAAATTGATTGGGTATTCTCATATGTTTTTAACTCTGTCCAGACATATTGTCCGTGTTATCAGAGTATTATTCTCGTTTAACAAAAAAAGTTAATTTTAAAAGATTTTCCGCTTTGCGAGAACGGTTGTCGCAAGGTTTACACCTAGCCTGTCGTTCACACAACACACAATGAGTAGAAATTTAAACAACCGAAGAAAAGGCCCCTCTTAGAGACAAAAAATTGCGGCACCTGAATTCTGGCCCTCATATGAAACTATGGACGGTTGACCAGAAATATATTCAGTTACTCTAATATAACTTACATTCATATCCCAAACTGCAAGCTGGCCATCAATACCACTTGTACTGAATTTAGTGATTGCTCCTTTTGAACCAGAGTAAAGGCACAATCCAGTTATGGCATTTTGGTGGACTGTTTCCAAAGCAGTGTCATTCTCAATGCGAGCTTGTCGATCCAAACTTTGAAACTTCCGCATGGCACTGATTTGAAGGTGTAAAGAAATAATTAGTAAACAGACTCCCCCCCCCACCAAAAAAAAATTCTGAGAGCAAATCATTAATTGTAAAACATGTGCTTACCTCAAACCTCCAGCTTCCTTTTTCTGTGAATTATCTAATTTGCATGAGTATGAAAGCTGGCCAGAAGAGTCAAATGTGTACAGTAACGGACAGCAGTTATGGCCCTAAAAGAAACAACACAATCCATTTAAAATACATCTGACAAAGGACAAATAAAAACTTGAAAAGAAATGAAACACCTACAGCGACAACAATGCTGTTTGGTCCAACCCAAGTACAAGTGTTGAAAGGGAGGAACTCTGTTCGCAACTTAGTCACAACCATTCCACGACTAGCATCAGCAACAGAAATGGAGGAATCGTGGCCAACCCAACAAATTCGGTTGCCATCACCTGAAAAGCTGACGCCATGCACCCAACCACCTAAAAAAGAAAAGAATAGCTTAGGAAAATTTCACAAGTGAAATTCTGTGTCTGATAGTATATAATACATAATATCCAATGCACAAACCTCCTGATTGAGAGTTGGTAAACTCAGCCAATAGTGTACCCAGACTTCCTGGTCCTCCTGCTTTCTTGCACCAAGGGCTCCCACTGTCATTAGGTTCTTCCAAGAGTTTAATATAAGCAGAAAATACTCTTACTTTAAAATCTGTCAAACCAGCAACCAGTATCAAATTGTTTGGGTGCCAGTCTAATGAGGTGACCGTTGATCTTATGGGTTTTTTAATATGTTTTGAGACCCACCAATCATTCTCTTTCTCAAAGTAACAGACAGAGATAAGCCGAGCTCCAGAGCCAACAGCAAATTTGTTTTCTGTGAACAAATTCAATGCCCGTGATGTTAGAACTAACAAAGACATCATACCTAGTCAAAAGGGAACAAAACAAGTACTTACCAAATGGAGACCACTTAACACAAGTAGCAGCACGATTAATACGTAGCAGTACTAAGGTTGGCTTCCAGTTTCCATCAGAACCCTGAGTCCAGACATATGCATTGCGATCCTGGAAAAATAAAATTTTTATTCAACAAATCTGATTTTACAAAGTTGCTGATAAACTCAGAACACTTACTGCAGCACAGGTAACAATACGATTTGTGTTGGGAGCCCAATCAATACCGGTAACACGGAGGTCATGTTGATTGAGTACATTTATCAATCTCCAATCATTAGCTTCTCTCTTATAAATATGGACTTCATGGTTGTTTGGAGAAAGGGCTACTTGAGAACGGTCCTTATTCCACGCATGACATGTAATGGGATTCACACCAAAACTAAATCTTTCAACCATTATGAAGCAATGACAGTAGAGTAACTGAAATAAACAATAAGCATTAATACAGGTCAATTATTTATAATAAAATAAATCATTTTGCTGCTCCATGTGTAGGTTGCACTCAGGAGGAAAATCAAAACATAACCTTAAAACCAAACTATTACTAGCTGACTTTGACAAGGTTTAGTGAGTGAAAAGTCTCCAGCAGACTTGAATCACAACAGATTTGTTAAGATGGATACAGATTGTTTGTTTTTTCACACTCTATAGTAATTATTATTTTTTGAATCTGCTATCTAGCCCATGAATCACCGGAGGAAACGCCCAAGTGAAACCATTTCCATTCTGAGTGCAAAAGAAAGGTGTCAAGAGCAGCGACTCTTGGATGATAATTACAGCATATAGTGATGATTAAAGGAATTCGCGGACTCTGGTCCGTCGACACGAATCCCCCAAATATCACCAAAATATTATGAACCGAATGAATGAATGACCAACTGACAGCCACCTAGCAGCAGCAGCTACAACACAGCAGTAGTGTAACCGGTGGTGGTGGCAGCTGTCACCCCGGTGGTAGGTTGGTTCACGATAAGCTGAGCCAAACCACAGTCAACCTAAGGCGGCAAATTTGAAAGTGTGTAGCAGGAATGTGTACTTCAGAAGCATTTCACGGTAAAGATCGTTTTTACTGTGAGAAATATGGGAAATAAATCATTCATCGGAAGTTTTATACGAGATATTCAGACATCGTGACGTCTACTAACTGCTAATGTGGCCATGAGTTTGTGAGTTAGAGGATCTGACCCATGACGCCATACTTCCCATACTTCAAGATGACGCTATCAAAAGTCTTCATTTCTTCCGTATGCCCGACCGACCCGAACTTACGACTCCTCCGAAGTTGTAGTTGTAGCAGTTGTAGCGGAGGTAGTAGTCGTTTGGGTTTGTATCTAGGCAGGACACAATGGCGTCTTCACTTGAAAATCTCGAAACGCAACTAGAACTCTTCATTGAAAACGTTAGGCAAATCAGGATTATTGTAAGCGACTTTCAGCCGCAAGGTCAAAGTGTTCTTAATCAAAAAATGTGAGTACTTCCCGTGTTCGTTGCGATTCCTAAAGAAGTAGTGTTGACAGGTTGTTAACCTAACAATGTGTTTTATTTGGATATTTCTATAACTCTTTGTTTTGTATTAGTTTCTGAAACAAACAAAAAAATTCAAAAATATTTCACAATTTTACTACTGTGGATACACTACTTTTATGTGACACTCACTTGGTTAAGTTATGCAGAAAATATTCAAATTACTTAGCGTTAGAAAAATATTGGAGAAGTTTAGTTCTGAATTTGTAAAAATCTTAATGTGTGGCCATCAATTATTTTCAGTCAATCCCTTGTGCAAGGGCTGCAGGAAGTCGACAAACTTAAAAATCAACCTCAAGTGCAAGATGTTCATGTTCCATTGGAGGTGTTTGAGTAAGTGTGTCACCTTTTATATCTTACTTTTTTGTCTTTAGGTTCAATGTTTAATCAATCGACCGTTGCCCTTCTTACAGCTACATTGATTCAGGACGGAATCCTCAGCTCTACACTAAAGACTGCATAGAAAAGGCATTAACAAAGAATGAACAAGTTAAAGGCAAAATTGATGCGTATCGGAAGTTTAAGGCCCACCTTCTAGTCGAACTAAATAACTCCTTTCCCAATGAGCTGAATAAATATCGGGCAATTCGAGGTGATGAAAGACCAATGGCTTGACACTTGAAAACTAGGCTGTGAATTTACTCCTGTCTTTCCCTTTTGTTTAATTAATCCATTTAAGATTTTACCTAGCTGTATTTACTGACTTACTTACCATTAAATCATTTCATTGTTATATTTTCTGATTTATTGTCCCCATTAACTTTTTAATGGAAAAAGAAGGAAAGTACAACAGATAATGGTTTGTTTGTTTTTACTTTCCAAATTAAGAACTTTCAATTGTGAAAACTATGTTTGCAATAAAATAAAAAAGAACAATGTTATAAATTTCTAGTCTCTGGGCGGTGCACTGATATTCATGTAAAACAAGTTTACATAGAGTGTACGACAGAAAAAAATAATAATACCAACTGAAACATCTGAACTCAACTTCAACTTCATAAATTAAACCAAAAGAGTGGATATTTGGGGAATATTTACAGGGTAAACATTTGTGACTGTAAAGAAACTGAAGGGAAAGTAAGTCTTCATTGATTAACTGTGAAAAGCGTTTACAGGATTCTATCAAGTTGGTCCTTAACAAACTTGAGGCCTTTGTTATTAAGGTGGATTTGGTCTTTTCTGCCATTATCAGAAAAAGTCCTGCAATGTGTTAAAAAGTATCATCATTAAATGGTCATTGAAAGAAGAAATATTCTAAGCAAGTAAAGCACAGAATAAAAAAAGAACTTACATTTCAAATAATTCAAGTCGACATCTGGAAATTCTGTGATCCGTAAATATTTTTGAGATATCAAGCGGTGTTATGTGCGAGCGGCCTGTAATGAAACAAAATTTCAAATTGATTTAACAGTATCATGGACCTGTCTCAATACTTCTACCATGTTAAACTTGAGCTATCTTCCTCCTAGGCTCCTTTGTGGACATCACAGTAAAAGATGTATTTTTGAATCTCATTGCTGCTCACAACATTGACATCTAAGCCCACTCCCCTTCAGGATGGGCATGCACCAAAATTACTATAAGTTTGGTAACATACATTTAGGTATTCAAAAGAAAAGCAACAGTCACATATGGAAACTTGATTAACATTAATTTGCTCTGCAAATCTAACTGTATAACAAGATGACAGTTTAAACTGCAAAACTAAGAAGTTCTACAGTTTAAACTGCACAGCTGCAAAGGGCTAGTTTGACAGTCATAACTAAATAACTTTTTAGTTTTGCAGTTTAAACTGTCATCCTGTTGTACAGTTAGATTTGCAGAGTGGTATACATCACTTAAACGCACATGTGTTGATAATCACACGGGTCAACATTGCTGTATCCGCCAAGTCATCTTCATCTGACTCAGAAGAAATATTCCAACTGTTATATGCACTTTCCTCTATGCATGTAAAGCAACCATTGCAAAATGGTGAGTCTGTCTTGAAATCAGCCAACAGTTCCTCCTCTTCAAGCTCCTCTTGAGATAAGATATAAAGGGGACTTATGTTGAATATTGAAATTCCTCTTTCTGTAATAACCCAATAACCCTTCACTCAGAAAATACCCAAGTTAATAGACTCAAACAGACTACTACTGAAGACTGTTGTTGAGATTTAATGCCAAAATCACATTAGATGAGTTAAAGAAACTAACAACTTTGCAGTTTTTAATTATTAATCGAGGGGGCAAGAACTCCGGGAATTATGTGTACACCTGCCTGGGAATCATCAGGATGAAAATTAGTTGAAATCAACAGAAATCGCTTAAACTTACCGGTAAACTAGTGGAACTGGTATAAATTAATCAAAATAAGTGGAAATAAGCGTTTTCTACCACTACAAGACCTAAGGAATCAATAGGAATCAAGTGTTTCCGGAATCATGTGTACACATCAAAAGGGAGTTATTGCCCCCTCGTTATTAATTAATTATTTCTTACTTTTTAAGAATTACTATATTACTTTTAAAAATATAAAGTAAAATAGGTAATGACCAAATAATTAATAATGAATTAACTATGAATGAGAGTAGTACACATGCACATACTACCCATATAATAGGAACCCTACACTGGTTGACTTAACATTACCTTTGTCAGCAAGTTGTTTAATATAATCATTATATTGTTGTAGTCGTTGCCAATGGTATGTTTGATTTTGCAGACGAGGAATAGGGGGGAGTGTTAATATAATGATCTCTTCAGTCATATTTTCTTTTAGGTGCTGTACAACTTTGCCAAGTTCAGTACACATTTGGCGAGCAGGAGTGCTCTAAAAAAGTACACAAAGTTAGAAATTGAAGAATAAAATTCAAATTCATAGCAAATCTTAACACACCTACCCTGAGCAAATCATTTGTACCGATCATTACAACAACTCGTTTTCCTAAGTGATAAAAACCAGACCTTAGGCGTCTTAAAAGGTCACCAACTCTTTGACCACTGACACAGTATCCCAGGAAACGAAGGCTTTCTAAGAAAGGGCAGAAAAATATGATCAGAAACACAAGTTTGTAAACTTAAACACTCCAGGATGATTTTTTTCCATACCTGCAAGAATAGCATTGTCACCCAATAATTGTTGCGAGAAACGAAGCAGCATGCTATCACCTATCAATTGATACCCTTTGAAATTTGGTCTCTGAAATAAAAATGTGTTTGATCGAGTAAGAGAATCCAAAGTAGAATTAGCATGCTGAGACCCGCATAGTGAACCCTACTACTTACAGGAGGAGTATGAAGATTTTGAAGACATTGAAACTTCTTGTCAACTTCAGCTGGAGCAGGACTTAATGTGGATACCTGAGCCAGACTACAAGACTGGCTGGGTTCCTGCCGCTGACTTGAAGTTGGGCTCTCAGCAAGATAGGGTGGAACCTTGGGTGTAGACCTGTCAACAAATTAAAAATCAAATCAATATTTAAGAAAATGATTAAAATTTAAAGCTTAAAATAAAATAATTGTTTTGTTTTGAATACCATTGAAAAACTCCTCCTACACACACTGGTGGTGGGGTGTGGTAGCTCTGTGGAGGGTAGTAGTAATAAGGTGGAGGTGGCTGACAGAACATGTTTGGTGAGTTGTAATAAACTGGCGGGGAAGCAAGGCCGTAGAGTTGTGGAGGCCCAGCAGGAGCAGGTGGGGTATGGTCTGGAGCATTTCTTTTCACAATATCTGCGTAAGTCTCACTTTTGGTTGAAGCTCCACCAGATTTTGAACTATCTGTATAATCAACCATTTCATCTTCTGATGACTCTATTTCATCAACATACTGATCTGAGGATGACATTCTATCAGGTGGTAGAGGTATGTCACCAACATTATTTGAAGCCCTAGACTTAGAAGAAGGCAACATATTTGCAATTTCTGTACCCTTCAAAACTGAATGATTTGACCTATTTGATTTAAAGCTAGATTCCACAAATTTCTCTTGGTCAAATGAATTTTTCATTTTTTCAGGAGATGAAGGATAATACTTCTGTGAGCCGGAAATTCTTCCAGGGGCTTTTGAACTTTCTCTAGATTTATGACGTGGTCTAGCATCTTCCCTTGAGGACTCTGATCGATCGCTTAACATAGGGGTCTTTGAATCGTCTCTAGTTTTATGGTGTCTTCTGGAATTTCTTCTTGGGGACTCTGATTCATCCCTTGATGAGGTTCTTGAACTTCTTGATCGCTTATGTCTTCTAGAATCTCTACTGCTTGGCGAGACAGATAGGTCTCTCCTCGGAGAGTGGGTTCTCCTGGAATGCCTTGGAGATTTGGATCGATCTCTACTTCTGGAATGGCTTTTCCTGTGATGTTTTGATGGAGATTCTGCCATACTGAGACTGACCTCTCTATTGGGAGACAAACCAGATTGATCAGTGTTAGAGGGGGAAGTTATTGAGGAACTTTTACGTTTGCACTTCTTTTTCTTTGACTTTTTCCTCAACTTGGGGGATTCACTGTCGGTTGTATCGCTCAAGATGTAAGTCTCTACTATTTCAGCTGGGGGAACAGGCGCACACTCATCTTGATTTGCTATGCTGCACTGATTATGGTTTTCAAAATTAGTGCTGGGTGGAGAGCCTGGAGACAAGTCTGAGTGTGTGAAGACTTTTACCTGAATGTCTTCATGGTCCTCGACTGCTGTAGTCTTGGTATCGCCGAGGTCTTCTTCACAGTCATCGTCCCCCTCCGCCCCAGAGGGTTCTTCTCGGTCTTGCAAGTGAATGCAGTCTTCGTCAGTCGGCGTGTTGTTGTTTGTCTCCACCTGCACCTTGACTTTGATGTCCTCAGCAAGCTCAACTCTACCCGGTGGGTCCGATTCCGACGATGTCTTCTTACTCCTGTTCCGGTCCTGGTCTTTCCTGATGCCGTCGATGCTGGTCAAGAAGACTCTGTTGATGGCCATAACAGGTCGAGACACGCCTCCCCTAGTGGGAGAGGGAGCGCACGACTTCTGCACCGTTTTCTCACTTTTCTGGCTCTGGCAGTTTAAGTTGTTCATGATGATTGAGGTGAGGAGCCGAACGCCGTGGAGTCCCTAGTTGTAGGAAATTCAATGGTGAGTATCAAAAGAGTCTTTCTTTCTTCAGAAATACCACAAGGACCGCAACAACGTGCACCAGCTCGGCCTGCCTGCCTTGCCCAGGACTACGTTCTTGGTTTGACTCTTTTCAAATCTGGACTAGCATTTGTTTTTATCGTGAAGCTGTTCCGGTCTGCGCCTTGTAGAAACCAGGGCCTGTCCACTCCGGCTACGATAATTTCCTGGGCGAATTCGGAGTTTCGGGGTCCGGACCTGCCACCCCACAAGCCCTCTGCCACGAAAATTCTTCTCGTTGAGGGACCAAATTAGATATTCAATAACGAGACATTAGAGGCTTGAAATGCATTTATCTTTACTCCGAAAACCTTTTTATTAATGAATTTACGGAATTCAATCCTTTAATTGCAGAAATAAGAGTACTTTTTAAGAATATTTTTTTGTTTTTCAAGAATGAACTTTTTTCCCATTTTTTGATTAAGATGATTTTCTTTCAAAAGTAAACTGTTCAAAAATGTTCTTTTTATATTTTAAAAGCGATGGAAGGTTCAAAAGACTTAAATGAACAATATTTCTGTTAATTGTTCTGTGGCTGAGATTGGGTTTATGAATTTTCTTCAAGCAGAGATGCAATCAAGCAGACAACGTAGCTGTCAGCTGTTTCTCTTTGTTTACATTTTGTAGCAGACGATATTGTTTGTCAACATACCCAATGTTATCAGAATGTTTCCTTGCTTTCTTTTTGTGTAATGTTTCGCAAGCTATTAGCCCTGCTATTTTCCCCTTTTTCATGGGCTGAGTACTTAGTGTTCCACTTTCAAGTGAAATGTAAAAATATATATGCATATATCTTTGAAGCAGTGTAACAGCGTTACAAGCTACAATACGAAGTAAAGACGAGGATACATTGACATTGGAGCGGCAGTAAACACAGAGCAGTCAAATTATACTTTTTCTTTTATTTAAATCAATCCGAAACAATGATACTGGAGCTACACCTCTATTCGAAACAAGTTTCACTCTTGCATACAAATTTACAGATAATGTATGAAAACGATCATGGTAATGTAGAACTGAAGATTTGAGATTAAAGTACATAGATATTCTGTAAATTAGGAATCCCTTGCATTAGACTATGTTTATCTATATTAGTTCACGTTACAGGGTACATCACAGATAAGAAAAAGACAGTCATACATAGAAAATATTGAAAGTTAAAGACATCAGCCAGGTTCAGATTTCCAGCTAACATTGACAGAGGCAAAATATATTTATAGACATGACAAAGTTAAGATCTTATAATTTCTAAAGATACCATTTAGCATTCTAATTGCTCTTCTTTGAAGTGTAAACAATTTATTAAGATATACGTATGTTCTCTGCTTCTCATCAGATTCCTAGATTATAATACCATATGCTAAATGTGATTGAATAAACGCTTAATTAGTAAACAGAAATATTAGAATTTTTGTGAAGACTTTAAGCCGTTTGCTTTAGAAGGAAAATACCTTTTTTTTTTTTTACCTTGTTAGATATTTCAGTCTTATGGTTATTCGATATACGGTTTCAAGATTAGTTTAATGCCCCAAAATTTAGTGACAGTTACTTGTTGGATAGGAATATCGTTAACATTGAGAGATAGAGTGGGTTCATTTGTAGAATTAAAAAGCTTAAAGCCAATCCTTAAGACGAGAAAAAGTTTTCTACTTTTGTTAAGACAGTTATAGCTTTCTTTGTAATCTCTTCCAAGTTTTTGCCAGCAATAACAATTGTAGCGTCATCAACATAGAAGACAAACTCTGCTGGTATATGTTTGATAATAGACCTAATAGAATTGGTAGATTAGATTCTAAAAAGATAGGATCCAAAGACAGAACCTTGTGGCACCCCATCTTTTATTATACCTTTTTGTGAAAGAACCAATTGGTTTTGTTCAGAGTTGATACCAACGATTATGTGTCAATTGAGACCCAAAGATTAAAACAGTACTCTTTTAACAAAGACAAAGATCAAAAACAAATTAAGAAAATTACAAGGCTATAAAGATGAAATGCCTCATATAGTTTAAAGGTCAGAAGAGGCTTTAGAGATTCTAAAGAGGTTTTGAATGACAGTCTTCAAACCAAATAGTTAGCCTAAAAATAACTATAAGGACAACACCTTTCACTCGGACTCGTGAGTCTTTTCTCTCTGTTCTGGTCGTCTCCCTGTGCTCGCCTCTCTTCGGTCTTCTTCACAGTTACTAATTGAAACTTCAGCTACACACATCTTCCTCGATCTACTTCCTGTACCTCATCTGCTCCTCCTCCTTCGATGATCCTTGCAGCCAGCACGTATGATACCTGAAAATAAGCGCAGGAAAATCATTATTAAATACAGTTGGGTACATATTTTTCAAAAATTACAAAATTGCAAAATAATTAGTAATTTTGATTTCTCAATGTCTTGAGGTTGGCGTGCACTTTCAAGATAAAACACCCAGTTAATATATTTTTAAATGGGTTATAACCCATATACTATTACATAATGCAATGACAAGACTTGGTTCTAATTATCAATGAATGCTGGCACAGGAGAGATTTGGCTCAAAAATAAAAATTCCTGCATGTTGAGCGTAACAATCATTAAGACAGAATTGTATCAGCTCATTGTGACAAGTATTGACAAAATCAATACAAATTTAAAACCCCAAAAGATTTGAAGGATTGCTCCCTATTTGCCATGGAACTTCCAGAGCTCAGGTCCAACTATAGATTAGATCGATAATTCTCACACTAGAGTCAGGTCAGTCAAAATTTAGTCATGGCCATGTATAATCTGCTTTTGTACAAGTGCACTATATTAACCCATATTAAAAAGTACATACCTTATGAAGCAGTCTTCGAATAGACAGGCACTATCCAAAACTCAGGCTATAGAAAATGCGTAACAATCATCTTCAAATTCCCCGTGTCCTTCATGAAATGTGTCC